CAAACAAGAGACAGAGAGACGGAAAGCCGGGTGCACTGGCGCCATCAAAATCACAGTAGTTGTGATTTTGCGGGACAATGCGGGACACGTGTGAGACAGATACATTTATTATTGTTATGCTATGTAAATACTGATTTACATCCATTGTCATATGCGCTTATTTATGATTCTGAGCGCGCACATGTAAGCGAGAGAAAGCGAGTCCATTTTAGGTGAGAGTGAAGAGAATCCACCTGCGAGAGAAGAGATTTGTGCGCGCACATTTTGATGCGCCCTCGCATTACAATAATAAACTCTGGACATTTGCCATTAAAATAACGCCATAGAAACCACCTCAAACTATTAAAATAAGAAGAAAGTAGAGTCTGAAAGCTGCATCGATTTTTAAATTGGTTAAAAGGAATATAATATAATAATTATAATAACTTTCATTAATAAATCATTAACAAACATTATATAATGTTTAACTGATCATTACTTAATATATATTCACATATCTAGAAATATGAGATAATGTGCCTGTTAATGTTAACTAATGAACTTATTAAACATTACCAAATGATTAACAGATCATTATTTAATGTAAATTGAAATGCTTACAAATGTCATTAAACTTTCAATTCATATGATCATGGATTTTTTTTTTTTTTGTAATCTTCAAACGATTGTGACAGATAGTTTACAATGATTTAAAGCTTCATTATTAAATCGTTAACAAACATTATATAATGCTTAACGGATCATTAGTTAATGTTTACAAATGTCATTAAACTTTCAATGCATTTTTAAAAATCTACAAATGGGTTTTACAGAAACTATAAAATATTTACAAGCTTATTTATTTATGTACTTTTGAATGCTTACAAATGTCATTAAACTTCAGTTCACATATTAGCTAATGCTCATTTTTACATCACAAATATTGCGAAAATATAGCTTATAGGCACTTCACAAACTATTCATGTTAATATATTCATCAACTCAGAATCACAGTCTGTAAAGGTCATATATTTGGTCTTTGTTTGCTGTGTAGACTTCTACTATTTGCACATCTTAAATAATTTATTAATAATTTGTTAATGTTTTTGCAGTACCCAATCTAAAGTGGAAACTATTAATCAATTGTAAATGCTTATAAACATTTACTAATCATTAGTACCTTTATGAGCAGTCATTTTGATATGTCCCAAATGACCGGAATTCACCCTATTTTAAAATCTTTACAAATCATTTATTAATAATTTGTTCATGTTTTTGCAGTACACAATCTAAAGTGGAGACTATTCATCATTTGTAAATGTTTATAAACATTTACTGATTTTTTTTTGAGTATCTTTATTGGCACTGGACTTTTAGCTACTTTAACAATGTTTGTATAAAGGGTGGTTAGTTAAGTTTAGCTAAATGCTTGGTAAAGACATATCACATATTGTAATTTGGGTGCAAAACATGTTATTATCACCATAACACTTATATTAGTATACTATTATGTATCATTAAACAGAATATTCCTTGAGTCATACATCAACAGGAGAGGGAAAATTATTTTTTTCAAGAAAATACGTCATTTATCAAAAATGTAATCAAATTGCCCCCTGTACACTTGTTGACCCCTACCCAACCTTAAACCTACCCATACCACCAAACCTGACCCTAACCTTACCCGTATCACACCTCAACAGCAGCAAAGGTGTTGTGCATTAACAGAAGCTTTTAATCGTATAACATCTGTTTAAATCATTTGTAGGTTTTTAAGATGTGCATGATCATATGAATTAGAAGTTAATGATGTTTGCATTTTAATTCACATTAAATGTTAATTATTAGGTAATGTTTAATACATTTATTAGTAAACATTAACAAGCACATTATTTCTAGATATGTGAATATATATGAACTAATGATCCGTTAAGCATTACATAATGTTTGTTAATGATTTATTAATGAAAGTTATTATAAAATGTTACCTAATATTTTTGTTGTTGTTTAAGAAAGTGTACATTTGGTACCAAAACTGATCTGAGTCTACTGTCTCTAAATCTTGATTTCAGTGACGACAACTGGAAAAACAAAGCTGAACATTGTGCTGTGTGGAAATAATCCAACACTCAAGAACTCAGTGTCTAAAATGTTTAGAGGGATAACAAGTAAATCTCAGAAAGAGATGAGTAAAGTGTGTGTGAAGAAAGAGGGCAAGATTCATGGACGGCAGATCAGTGTAATAGAGCTTCCAGCTCTCACCCGGCTCTCAGAGGAGGAAGTGATGCGGGAGACTCTCCACTGTCTGTCTCTCTGTGATCCTGGAGTTCATCTTTTCATCCTTGTTACTCCTGTCTGTCCACTTACTAATGAAGACAGAGCAGAAATGGAGAAGATCAAAGGAATACTTAACTCTAATGAACACTTCATGTTGCTTTTCATTACTGAACTTGACCAAAGTGTGATAGATTTTGTGAGTCTCTATGGGAGTTGGCACAGTGTGATGGGGTCAAAGGACCAGAGAAGCTCAGAAAAGATCTCAGATCTGTTTGATCGTATAGACAGCATGAAGATTGAACCCTATTCTCTTCAGATGCACATAAGAGCTCCAGAGAAGAAAGTCAGACATGAACTAGAGGAGCAACTGAGAGTGAGAGATAATGAAGTCAAAGAGCTACAGCAGAAGATCAAGACACTGGGTGAGTGCATTCATTTATTTATCTGAATAAATAATCTTTGTGTGAATACAGTAATAGGCATGAAAGGCTTTTACTAGTGGGAAACTGGTAAATTACAGTGCAGTGATGATTACCATAATTCCAACATGATATGAATGCAGCATTGATCAAATTTAAAATCACATTGTTAAACTAGTTTATTGCTTTGTCACAATTTCAGAGGGTGTGAAGCTGAATCTGGTTGTGTGTGGGAGTAACAGAGGATTAAAATCCTTCATATCAAAGCTGATCCTGAAGCAGAGCGAAAGAAGATCAGAGCTCAGCTCAGAGTGTGTGAGGAGAGACGTGGAGCTTGATGGACATCTGATCAGTCTGGTGGAGCTTCCAGCTCTGTTCAACACTCAGCTCTCAGAGGAGGACATGATGCGTCAGACTCACCGCTGTGTGTCTCTCTGTCATCCTGGAGTTCATGTGTTCATCCTCATCATTCCTGATGCACCACTGACTGATGAAGACAAAGCAGAAATAGAGGAGATCCAGAGGATCTTCAGCTCAAGAATCAACAAATACATCATGATCATCATAAAGCAGAATCCAGAGCATCAGACAGCAGAACTAAATGAAAAAACACTGTCTGTCATTGAGAGTTTTGGGGGACGACATAATTTCATTGGGCCTAAAACACAAGTGTCTGTGTTGATGGAGAAATTAAAGCAGATGGTTGAGGAAAATAGTGGTGATTGTTTCTCCACAGAGACATTGATGGAGACACAGATGGAGAAACTGCTGAAATTTGAAGAAATTAAAAGGAGAATCTATCCTTTAGAGACGTGGTTTCAATCACAAGGTAACGATCAGAAAAATTGCATTGATTAAACAAACACTATTCATGATTGCTAAAGTCTACAGATTTGCGATAGAAAACAATAACATTATATGCAGAGTTCAGAAGCAACAATATGATCAGCACATGATGCTTTAGTATAAATTACACACAGTATTCTCTGATGAACTGGATAATTGACAATCTTCACTTGAAATTTAATATTGTTTTTAATTTTCATTTGATCTATCTTTAGATTCAAGAGACATAGAATATGAACTGAGGATTGTGCTGCTGGGAAAAACTGGAGTTGGGAAGAGTTCAACTGGAAACAACATCTTAGGAAGAGTCATGTTTGAAGCTGAAGCAGCTCATGAGTCTATTACTAAAGAGTGTCTTAGAGAGAACGCTGAAATCAATGGCAGACACATTGCTGTGATCGACACTCCAGGACTGTTTGATACCGATCTCAGTAATGAAGAAATCCAGAGAGAAATCAGCAACTGCATCCCCATGATCCTGCCTGGACCACATGTGTTCATCATTGTGCTCAATTTAGGACAACGATTCACTCAAGAAGAGGAAAAATCAGTGGAGATCATCCAAGAGACATTTGGTGAAAACTCTTTAAAGTACACGATGGTGCTCTTCACCAGAGGGGATGATCTGAATGACAAAACTATTGAACAGTATCTGGGAAAATCTGGATCTGCTTTAAAGCAGCTGATTGATGTGTGTGAAAACAGATACCATGTGTTCAATAATAAAGAGACTGGAGACCGAACACAGGTGACTGATCTACTGCAGAAGATAGACAACATGGTGAAAGCAAACGGAGGGAGTTACTACTCATGTAAGATGTTCAGAGAGATGGAAAGAGAATTACAAGAACAACAAAAGAACATACTGATGGAGAAAGTGGAGCAAGTGGTCAGAGAAAAAGAAGAACTCATGAATAAACATGAAGAAGAGAAAAATAAGATGAAGATGAAGATGGAGGAAAAAAGACAGAATCATGAGAAAGAGAGAAAGAGAAGAGAAGAAGAATTTATTGAGAGAGAAGAACGATACAAAAGAGACATCAAAGAAAGAGAGGAACAAGAGAAAAAGATACGAGAGGAGCTGAAGAGAGAACGAGAGGAATGGGAGAAACAGAAACAACAGGAAAGACAAAGAAGAGAAGAAGAGGAGGATAAATGGAGAAAGAAAGAGCAGGCAACATGGGATGAATGTAATCAGAGACTTAAAGAGGTAGAAGAGAGAATGGAAAGTGAGAAAGAAGTTAATCTGTCCAAATACAAAGAAGAGAAAGAGAGAATGAAGATGATGGTGGATGAAGAGAGACGGAATCATGAAAAAGAAAGAAATAGAAGAGAAGAAGTGGATGAGAGAAGGAGAAAGATAGAAAAGGAAACATGGGATGAATATTATCAGAAACTTAAACGAGAGAGAGAAAGAAGATACAGAGAGAAAAAAGATCTTCAGATCAAACATGAAGAAGATAGAAAAAGAATGAAGAAGATGATGGAGAAAGAAAGACAAAATCATGACAAAGAGACAAAGAGAAGAGAAGAGGAATATATAAAAGCTGAAGAACAATATAAAAGAGATATTAAATACATAGAGGAACAAGAGGGAAAGATACGAGATGAGCTGAAGAGAGAACGAAAGGAATGGGAGAAACAGAAACAACAGGAAAGACAAAGAAGAGAAGAAGAGGAGAATGAAATGCATAAATTTATTGAACTTCATACGGGAACTCCTGAGGTTCTGCACACAAACAGTAAGTCAAAACAATAACCAGCTAATTTTGAAATGAATGTGCAAAAAATATATATTTTGGTGTAAACAATGGTTTTATGTCACTATACTTTGCTTTTCAGCAGTTTATGTGGTTACTATTTTGTTGAGGAAATATTGCACTGGTTTAGAATCATCTAGAGACATCCCGAGCCGATCTCAAGAATCGGGATTGGGGCCAATTGAGCATTTTATTTATTGAGCATCTATCCTAAGCCTGGTCCTTATTTTGCGTCATGCATGTCATGCAGGTGTCATGCAGCAGGTGGCACTGTGCACCTTCCAGTAGGTTTGCCAACCGCCATTAAAAGGAAAAGACAAAGCTCAAATGTACATGATGTGCAAGAACCAGTGAGGGCTGTTCTAGCGTGTCACACATGTTTGAGCTTCCATGTTTAGCAAATTTGATGCACACTTTAATAATTAATCACTTAAAAGTCATATATTTATCATTTACTTTTATCTGCTGTCAGGCTCTCTGAGACGTTGTTGTTATAACACATTGCTGTGGGTTGCGTCTTGCTTTGCACTTGACTGACAGACTGGCATTCTGACAGCGCAAGCTTCATGCTTTCTAACCTTATCTTTAATTTTCCCCTCTTTATGTTGCAGTTATTCTGCCTATTGTACATATAAAAACACAAAAAGTTTATATCAATAGTCCCATATTCATAATTCTGACCACACAGTCTGATTACATTGTCTACCATTGTAACTTGTTTATAAACAGTTTACATCTTGCAATTCTTAAATCTCGTAATTCTCCAAAAAACACTCTCAAAATTGTGTGATAAAAACTCACATTACATTTAGTCATTTAGCAGACGCTTTTATCCAAAGCGACTTACAATTGGGGAATATATCAAATGAATCATCTTAAAGAGGCAAATAGACACAGGAAGTGCTCGTAATACCAAGTTTCAAGCATTGTTCAAATAAATACATCCCTGTCTACAAGCTAGACAGGGAAAGATTAAAGAAAAGAGAAACGTTTCTTTTTTTATTAGGAAGAAGTCAGACAGTGACAAAAGAGGTGAGTTTTCAGCTGTCGCTTGAAAATTGTCAGGGAATCAGCATTCCGGATAGGGGTTGGGAGACAATTCCACCAGCCAGGAACGGTGAACGAAAATGTTCTGGAAAGTGATTTTGTGCCTCTCTGTGATGGTACCACGAGGTGTCGCTCACTCGTAGATCTCAGACTTCTGGAGGGGATGTAGATTCTCAAAAGTGAGTGGAAGTAGGCGGGTGCTGAGCCTGTGGCTGTTCTATATGCAAGCATCAGTGTCTTGAACTTGATTCGAGCTGTGACCGGCAGCCAGTGCAGGGAAATAAAGAGAGGCATGTCGTGGGTTATTTTGGGCTCGTTGAAGACCAGTCGTGCCGCTGCATTCTGAATCATTTGTAGAGGCTTGATTGTGCATGATGGAAGTCCAGCTAGAAGAGCATTGCAGTAGTCCAGACTAGAGATGACAAGGCCCTGGACAAGAAGTTGTGCAGCATGCTCCGTTAGGAAGGGCCTGATCTTTCTGATGTTGTGCAATGCAAACCTGCAAGATCAAGCAATTGTTGCAATGTGGTCTTTGAAAGTCAGCTGGTTATCAAAGATTACACCAAGATTTCTGACCGAACTTGATGGGGTAATTATTGATGAACCTAACTGGATGGTGAAATTATGCTGTAGAGTTGGAGTGGCAGGGAAGACAAGGAGCTCAGTCTTTGCCAGATTGAGCTGTAGGTGATGTTCGTTCATCCATGCTGAGATGTCCGCCAGGCAGCCTGAGATCCATGCAGCTACTCTTGGATCATCTGGTTGAAATGAAAGATAGAGTGTCATCAGCATAGCAATGTTGGGAGAAGCCCATGTGCCTGTATGATGGGTCCCAGTGATGTAGTGTATATGGAGAAGAGAAGGGGTCCAAGAACTGATCCCTGAGGAACCCCAGTGACCAGTTGAAAGAAGCTCAGTCTTTGCCAGGTTGAGCTGTAGGTGATGTTCGTTCATCCATGCTGAGATGTCCGCCAGGCAGCCTGAGATCCATGCAGCTACTCTTGGATCATCTGGTTGAAATGAAAGATAGAGTGTCATCAGCATAGCAATGTTGGGAGAAGCCCATGTGCCTGTATGATGGGTCCCAGTGATGTAGTGTATATGGAGAAGAGAAGGGGTCCAAGAACTGATCCCTGAGGAACCCCAGTGACCAGTTGATGCAGTTTGGATACCTCCCCTCATCAGGCCACCCAGAAAGACCAACCAGTGAGATAGGATTCAAACCAGCAAAGTGGAATCTCTGTGATGCCCAGTGATGAGAGGGTGGACAGGAGGTTCTGATGACTCACAGTGTCAAAAGCGGCAGATAGATCCAGCAGAATAAGGACTGATGATTTGGAACCAGCTTTTGCAATCTGCAAGGCTTCAGTGACTGACAGTAACGCAGTCTCAGTTGAATGGCCAGTCCTGAAACCTGACTGGTTAGCATCCAGTTGGTTGGTCTGTTTTAATGTAGGTTTTTTGAGCATTGGGGTTACCCAAGCCTGCTTGAATGCAGTGGGGAAAGTGCTTGTGAGGAGAGATGTGTTGATGATGTGTGTGAGTGCTGGTAAGAGTGTAGGAGAGATTGCTTGGAGAAGGTGTGAGGGGATAGGGTCTAGTGGGCATGTTGTAGGATGGCTGGAGAGGAGAAGTTTAGACACTTCTGCCTCAGTGAGGGGACAGAGGGAGAAGAGGGAAGTTTTAGGGGTGGATGTGGTTGGTTTGAGTACTTGTGTGTGTGGAGCTGAGAACTGACTGCTGATTGTTCTAGTTTAGTTTGTGAAGAATGTGGCGAAATCATCAGCTGTTATAGAAGTGGTGAAGGGGGACAGAGTAGAGAATTTAATGTTTTGAAGAGGTTACGTGTGTCTGGAACGCTGTTGATCTAGTTGTGGAAATATGAAGATTTGGCCATATGGACTTGAGCAGAAAAAAGATGAAAGCAAAGACTGATACATACTCAGGTCAGACAGATCTTTTCATTTGTGCCATTTTCTCTCTGCTGCCCTGAGTTTGGACCGATGCTTACGAAGAACATCGGATAACCAGGGGTTAGAAGGGGCAGCTCATGCTGGCCTAGAGGAGAGAGGACATAAATCGTCTGGACAAGAAGTTAGAGCATAAAGTGTTAGTCGCAGCATTCACATCCAGAGATGAGGGAGGTGAAGGAAGAAAGGTAGACACTACAGAGGAAAGATGGGAGGGTGAAAGGGAGCGTAGGTTTCATCTAAAAGTAACAGGTAGAAGGGATGGTGGCACACAGGTAGGAAGATGTAGGTTAAATGTTATGAAGAAATGGTCAGAGATGTGTAGGGGTTTTACCAAATTGTTGTCTGCAATACAATTGTGTGTGTAAATTAAGTCAAGTTGGTTGCCTGAATTGTGAGTGATTGTAGTGGTAAGGCATTTGAAATCAAATTAAGCTAGAAGTGAATGTAAGTCTGCAGCATAAGGCTTGTTCAGATGAATGTTAAAGTCACCAAAGACTAAAAGTGGAAAGTTCTCTAGGAAACTCTAGGAAAGTTCCGAGTTGACCAGGAGGCCGGTAAATTACCACAACAGAGTTTTATAGGAGCTGTTACAGTAATTGTATGAGATTCAAATTAGTTATAATTGCATAGGGGGGAGTAGGTTGAGTATTTCCAATTGTTAGAAATGAGCAGACCAGTGCCCCCACCCCTTCCAACCTGATGAAGGGTGTGAGAGAAAGAGAAGTTGTTAAACCAAGCTGCTGGGGTTGCTGAGTCTTCTGGACGAATCCAGGTCTCAGTCTAGTCCAAGATGCTGAGTGTGTATTGCAAAGAAAAAGCAGAAATGAAGTCAGCTTTGTTGACAGCTGACTGACAATTCCAGAGACCCACAGAAAAAGAAAGAGCTGCAGTAGAAGATGTACAGATAGGACACAGGTTAGCAAGATTACGTTGCCGTCTGCGAGTGATGTTAGAGCGTTGTTGAGAGACAACCGGAATGTATTGGAAACACATGATAGAGGTGGAAGAAAGAGGACAGGAAGGAGTGTGCAAAGGGAAAGAAAAGAGAGTACTTAAGTGCGTTGCCTGTTTTGTTGCTCGGTTAAAGTCGCGCAGGTAAAAGTCACAGGTCTTTACACTCATAGGTCTTCAGACGAGGAGGCTGAACACGAAGGTACTTCCGCATCAGCTGACAGATAACAAATAAATACACAGCCAAACGACACTTCAGAGAAAACAGCTGTGGCCGGATTGTTAATTAGCACATACAAAAGCCTATAGCAGGGCAATTACTCAAATAAAAACTACAGTTCGCACTTAAGTGCAGGAAGGAAGTAATATAAATAGCAAAAGCTCCTTCTTAGCCGACGGCTATTATTCTAATTTCAAATAAGTGGCTACAAATAGGTAGAAACTAAATAATCCTTCTTAGCAGCAAGTAACAATTTAAACAACATATAAAGAAGCTGCCGCCTGTTCTGCTGACTAATCTCTTCTCCCAAAATATAGAGAGTGACCAAGCTGCTTAAATAGTCTACGGTTGCTGTGGCCGCCTTAATAAAAGTAATTTTGACTTTTTTCACAATTTTGACTTTTTCTCAGAACTGAGATATTAACTCACAAATTGGAGAAAAAAAGTAACAATTACGAGATACAAACTTGCAATTCTGAGAAAAGTCAGATATGTGAGATAAATCACAATGACTGTTTTTTATTTTTATTTTAATTAAGTGGTGAAAATGGAAATCTCTATGTTTTCTATGCAGTGAATTTAGTCAATCAAAACCGGCCGATTACTGACAAGCCTTAAAAAAGCCACCCCTTAAAAACAGATCATTGAAAATTGAAAATAATTGTTCTGCGTGCACACACACACACACACACACACAGAGTGGAGATAAAAATTAGAGAACAATCGATAAATACTTGTTTTTTTCTGAAATATTGTTAATCTTGTGGAAATTCTCAATACGAATGCATCTT